GTACACCAGCGTTATAAATTTTTTTTTATATAAAAAATGGCTTCATCCACCATTAATAAGATTAGCTCTTTTAAGGGTATTGTGGATTGCAATCTGAAAATATTACTGGAATCATTAAAATTTGAACTGGATTTTTTTTCAAAGAATATAAGATCCTAGATTATTTTGGTCAAAGAAGTGTTCCATTATTGTGAAATACAAAATGAGGAGAATCATTGTGAGCCTTTAGGACTAAAGTGATTTTTAATTTGATTTCCCTTTGCAAGTAATATGTAAGTTATATTATTAATCTAGATTGAGAAGTTTTTCTGGTGGATAAATGGCCTATGAAGTAGGAAATATATATATAGTAGAGATATTAGTGAGTTCGATCATTGTTGCAAATCCTTCTAATAAATATGTCAAGTGTTGTTACTTTTGATAAAAAATACGAAAAATAGACAAGTTTGACATTGCGATTTATAACTTTTGGCTAGAAATATTACTCAACTTTTTTGTGCTTTGAGTATTTACCGGATACACCTAATAACCATATCCGATATTTTATTTTCAAATTTCCATTGGTTATTCCATGGATCTTGGGAGTTATCTAAAACCTCATGAGCTTGCACATGACGTGCACATGATGTGCACGTGATGTGCACCCAAATGCTTAATATGTACCGGCAGAAGAAAGTCGCTGAAATTTTGACTAGGTCATGCGAATAGGGTGTCAGGGTGAACCAAGCAAAAGGGAGAAATGATGCATCGTGAAATTCGCTTGGAGAGATCCCATGAGTTGAAAGAATTAAAAATTTCAAACGCCTTGCTCAGAAGTTCATGGATCATAAAGGTGATGCTGGTTGGAAGGAAGTTGTATGGAAAATAGCAAGCAGACGCGAGCAGTGCCTCCATTTCCTGTTAAGTTCTTCAGGGGAGAGGAGGAACTGGAACAGGCACCAAAATATGAAGCAGAGAAGGAGATGTACAAGATGTGAAGCGACATGGAATTTTATCTTAGAGCTGGTGAAATTGGTTCTTCCGGACCCATGTAAGTTCATAACTATTGGGGTGTGGTTCATACTCCCCAGCGACTGGACATCACGGGGTCCCGATAAAGAAAAGTGTATTAATTGAATGGTTTCCTAATTAGAGAAGGTTTCCTAGGAAGATGTTTCCTATTTTGAATCAAACTATAGTCTATATATATTCTCTTTCTCTTGTAATTGAGAGATGTAACATGGAGGTGCGATGTGCTAATTATAGTGGAATCCTCTGCTGGACTAGCCCTAGTTTAAGGGTGAACTAGGATAAAAACTTGTATCTCGACTCTCTTTCTCGCTTTTTACTTTCTATTTTCTTTGTAATTGTGCGGCGAATCCTAACATTCACAGGGCGGGAATTGGGGTCTTTCCAAATTCCTGCCTTGTGGTTAATGCTTATGCGAGCTTGCTTTTCACTTGGGAAGAAGAGTACAGGAAATGGAACACCAGCATTACATTCCACAATTTGAATAATCTGTAGTTCTCTGGGGCAGAAAATCTGGAAGCTGTGAGAATGGTGGAGGCAAACAGGCACCTCAAGCAATGTAACGATGTTATGCGGATGATCAAGGTGTTTTTCTGTGAAAATGTCTTTGGCCTGCATTCAATCTTCTCTGATCCTAAACTGCAATACATATGTGAATGAAGAACCTGTTATCTGCCATGAGCGTCAGAAGCTTAAAGATCTCTAACATAGAGGTAGGGGTAAAGACGAGTTTCCTGTGGAGTTAATCTGGCTCGGCGAACCACTTGGTGAGAAGGTTCTTGTTTTCAGCCAATACAAGGAGATATTATCCTTGATCAGTGACCAGCTGAGATCGACTTTCCGGTTGTCCTCCTAAGGAAGAGATTCTACACATGCATGGGAGCCTCGATATGAAGGAACATCAGCGTTTGATTCAACAACCCACAGAGCCAAGCGAGAGTAATGTTAGCTTCAACTGAGGCTTGCTCTGAGCGCATAAGTCTAGTTGGAGCATTGAGAGTTGTCTTGCTCAACATGGTTTGGAATCCTTCGGTCGAGAGGCAAGCAATCAGCCACGTGTTCAGAATTGGCCAGGAGAAGGTTGTCTACATTTGCCATCTAATCATGAAGGGAAGTGCAGAAGACGACCAGTACTGCAAACAGATCGAGAAAAGTAGATTGTCTAAGCTGGTTTTCTCCCCTGACGGACAAGGAAAATGCTGACAGAAGAAAATCCAGTGTGGTTGCCGAAGACAGGATATTGGACTAGATGACCTCCAGCGAAAACTTCAAGGATTTGTTTGATCAGATACTTTACCAGCCAAAGGATTCCGATGCAGTCGAGAACTGTGACTCTGAGACCATCCCATGGCTGGTTGTGTGAGTGTGACCGGCAGCTTGATCTGAAGTTGAGACCTGGTATCTTACAGCCGTTAACAGTTAGTGCTTAAAGAAGTTGCACTGTCAATTTGTTAGCTCTTGTGCTTACTGTTGTAACCTTGAGCTGAATCTGTAATCAATCATCTGTAAAATGTTCTTAAACAATGATCTAGGTACGGATTTCCTTCTCATTGCTCTCCTCTGCTGATTCTTCTCTTTTTCTGATCCTCTCAAAACTCAGCTTCATTAATCGGATTGCAACAGTGCTACTTTAGCTAGTCTTTTCGGACGCTAGGAAATTTGCATTGTCAATGTCCAAAGAGCTGTGAAAGTATGTATAGAATTTATAGCTGCAGACACTGAATTCATATCCATTTCTAGTCCAAACTATAAAGAGAGTAAAATGTAGTCTGCGAGAAAATTTTGTTTTGTGATTCTGCTTTTTTTGAATTAAATCTGCACCTACTAGCCTAAACGATTTTATCTAGTTTATAGAATTTTGTTTTGTGATTATGTTATCATTGAGTTTTCCGCGAAACAAACATACCCTCAATTCTAAATAGAAGATTTAGTCTATAAAATGTTCTTTACCCAGGAAGCAAAAAAAGATCTATCTCTTATCTTCTTTAAAGAATCCAAATTATCTTGGCTGTTGAGTTCACATCCGCTAAGAAAAATCCGAAATCTGTTCCTTCCTGTCCTACCTAGCTGTTGTTTCAGTTTCCCAGATAGCTACCTCATGTACTAGTTAGAACATGTAATTTTGTTTGATCTACGGGGGACAGTTTTCATGTATAAAGCTATACACACGTTTCATAAAGCACATTTAAAGGCTGGCCTTTAGGCAAGGTCAATTGTGCCGATCACTCAAATGTCTCTCCGCTGGACCTTCGTGTAGGTTATGGATTTGCTGAGGGAGTGATATAATTCGTGTCAAGAAAGACCATGCTTGATAAATCTCTCACAAGGTCCTCGGAAAGCCATGTTGAGTCCAGTAGAGCTCATCCAATGGTATGAATACGATATTACATGTCTGTTGGTGACATTTAAGTGTCAACAAGTCGCTGCAAAAGAAGCTGCGGTATCAGTTTGTTAGGTCTTGTGATTACTATTGTAACATATGAGCTGAATTTGTAATCAATAATCTGTAAAAAAGTTCAAAAGCAACTTGTTGTGTATGGATGATCCTTCTCATTTCTCTCCTGTGTCGATTCTTCTTTTCTCCGATTAAGTCTGCTCCACTTTTTTGGGCTTGTAACAGTGCAACTCTAGCTAGTTTTTTGGAGGCTAGGAGATTCACATTCTCAATGTGCACCGAGCTGTGAAAGTGTCAATAGAATTCATAGTTGACGGGCACAGAGTTCATATCCACAACATTTGCACCTTTCGCAGAAAGCTTCCAAACAACTTCCTGCAACGGTAATCATTGAACTACCTACTAGCACCATTCAGGGAAAATAAGATTGAACCCTCCTATCGACCTTCGACATAGTCAATCCAATCAAGGCTTCTATCAGTGCTAATATGACTCACATGAATCTTCTCCTTCGCTTGCACTCTTGCTATTTCCATTTCCATCTATATGCTTTAGTTCAAGTTGTTAATCCCTACTACCTCGAGCTCATCTTTCTTGTCCAGTATCTGCCCTTGCAGGATGGCCATTCTTGTGACATCCTGAAAAAAATTAGTCCATTTGGGATTTATGAAATACTGAATTTTATTAATGTACTTGTAGTCAGTTCTCGCCCGGAACTGATCATTCCTGGGAATGCTAACCATTAGGGAAATGCTAATAGGGGAAATTAAATTCGCGCGACTAAAGGAAATTCGATCGTGAATGGATTTCGACCATTAAATCGCGGAAGTGATATTTTGAGCCATTGTTGGCCGATCCAAAGATAGTTAGGGGTCGGTTCGCCACTGTCGTAGTAGTGGATCGCGGGTGATTCTGCTGGACCACGAAATGACTTGACGAATAATCCTGAACCTATACCGAACGATCGTACCCTGGGATCAAGTGATTGATATTCGCGATTTTAATGACAACCGAGGTCGTCACGTACCGAACGAACTTGCACGTGACTCGATTCAATATCAGTCATGAGTAGATTCTGCGAATTTCCCCAGCAAGCCGCCCATTAGCTTGAGAAACGCTCAAGTTGCGTTTAATAAAATTGAATTATTGAATTTAGCCCAATTTGGACACCGGAAAATTAGGAAGTCATGACGGAATGTTAGGACGACGTGCAGAAGACACGTGTGATTTTTGGGTGCACTCAAATCCTTCAGAAAAATTCGATTTGAGCAAGAAACGGAGAAAGTGACCAAAATACCCCTAAGAATTATAAAAGGGTATGTTTTAAGGGTAAAGGGCATTTTGGTAATTTTGCCGTAAAATTTTGATTGGACAATTTTACCCTTGGGTTTTTGAGAAATCACAAGAATACCCTTGGATATTTTGGGCAAGATTCGATCTCGGCCATCGGTTTCAGGATAAGATCGAATCTGGACCATCGGATCAAAAAGATTAGAGAAAGGGTATTTTGGTAATTAGCCAAGTTGGTCAAGAAAGTTGACTATTTAAGTCAAAATTTCTCTCTCTCCTCACTCATTTTCTCCTCCTCCACGGCAGCCCCTCTCCACCAAATTCTTCCTCTCTCTCCCTCCCGAACTCTCCCCCACCGTGAAGCCCCCATCGCCGGATCGCCGCCGCGCCGTCGCCGCTTGCCTTCGCCACCGCCAAGCCATACCACCTTCCCCGCCGTTCGCCGCCGCGCTACGTTCTAGCCGCTTTAGTCTAGAACCAAGTAAGTTATAATCTAAACCTCGCCTAGGACGTCGGGTATTTTTTCGGACTCGTTTAGGTGCGGTTTAGGGGATTTAGAGGTTGATTAAGGCGTTGATAATGGTTATTGGTGGTTGATCATGGTTATTGGTGGCTGAGTATGGCTGTTAGTGGTTGTTGCGGGTTGGATTAGACGTCAGGAAATGAGTTTTGGCGGTTGGAATTCGGTAGAAATCGGTTCGGGTTTGAATCGGTGAGGTTCGAGGTGAATCGCGGATTCGCGGTTACTGTACCCGTCCGGTTTGCTATTTTTGTAGAAAATTTTGTGGGCCGAATTTGAGGAAGGTTTCTTCATAAAAGTTTTTCCCAACATCTTGAGGTATAACATAATTTAATTTGGGAATTTTTGGAGATCATTTGAGACCATTCGGAAGTCCATCTTTGGACCGAAATAAAACTGCCCGATTTACTGTTCACCCGACCTTCGGGTCTGTTCGAATTTTTATAAATTTTTTCAAGCTTATTTTCAAAATACTTCCTTCACGAGAATTGTTGGGGACATTTGTGGCTATAACATATAAAAATTTCAAGGCTTTTCAAGATGATTTGGGTACCGAATGAGTTGTATTTTGATGGCCTGAGGGACTGTTCGAGCGAATCGGATTTTGTCTGACTTCAAGTGACCAAAAGAGGTGTTTCCAGTTGGAACTGAGTTTCTAGTTCTTCACAAAAAATGTTCAGCAAGATTTTTACGCAACGTGTCCAAATTTCAGAATTTTCGGAGTTCGTTTACTATTTATTTGGATGGGATTTCGGTCATTGTGTAAACTGCCCAGTTTTTACCTGATTCTTTGGATGTTTGTTTTGATGGGCGGAATGGAGTTAGTGTCGGGATTGAATTGTTGATGCCTCGTGACCAGAATTTAGGCTTGAATGTGTGTTATATGAGGTGATTTGAGGATGAAATGAGGATGTTTCGAGGCTAGAGTGAGATTGATTAGAGTGTCGGATATTGTGGGATGGAATTGGCGAGCTTAGGGCTCGATTTAAGGACAAATGGTGTCGGTTTGATGTGTGGTAGTATGGCTGGATTGTGGTGTTTAATATGCTCGGAAATGTCGAAATTATGCCTATGAACGTGGCTGTGTTTGTGGGTCCATGAGTGGCCTTGTGTTTTTATTGAACTGTAATTTGATGGATTGAAATGTGTTTGATTATGTACACGCGTGGGCCAGATTAAATTAATTGTTGAAATTAGCCATGTCGAATGCTGAGTGAGCATGTTTTACGTGTTAATTGATGCGTGCACGGGCCACGTGTGATGGGCCAGTTGGGTGTGGTATATGCGTGTCGAGCATGCGCATGAGTAAGAAAGAAATGTGGTGTGGCATGTGATTGTGAAATTTATGTGAAGGTGTGGAATTGCGAGTATTGAGATCGGGCCGAGTATCATAAGCTCGGGCAGCGATCACGTAGGTCTGTTGCATTTGGCACAGGTTGAGGCTTGAAAAAGCAAGGTTGAGAATCGGTCCGAGGCACGATCAGCTCGGGTGAGATCGGGATCGGACCAAGGCATTATAAGCTCGGGTTTCGATCATGTAGGCCTGTCGCATTTGGCGCGGGCTGAGGAAAGTGTGAATGTGGGATCGGACCGAGGCGTGTGATGCTCGGGGCTTGATCGAGTGTGAATGTGGGATCGGACCGAGGCGTGTGATGCTCGGGGCGCGATCGAGTGTGAATGTGGGATCGGACCGAGGCGTGTGATGCTCGGGGCGCAATTGAGAGGCCTGAGGGGTGTACGGGTACGCGGGCCGAAAGTGTGGTGATGAATGGTCGCAGTGTGCCTGAGGCGTGTACTTCAACGCGGGTCACTGGCGAGTGATGTGGAAAAGAGAAAATGAGAACGGAATGAGTATGTGGGATGAGAATGGTACATGCGCGTGTTTGCATATGACGTGATGATGACTGAATGCGGGTGTACGCATGATTTTGCCTGATAATATTATTTGATGTGCCTGCGATGTGATGACTTGATGTGCACGAATGTGCGTGTTTGTGTGTTTGTCTGGAGGTACGTGATAGTCTAGGTAGGGTTTAGGTTGCAACTTATTGAGAAGTGTCTCATGGTTGTATAAACCAAACCATTTCAGATAACCCGCCTGCATAAGGAATCAGTCGCCACCGCCGCCGTCAGAACGTTTTGGTACAGTCATGCACCCCGAGGATAATTTCGTGGAGTACTCTCTGAATGGACGCCGTACCGAGGACGCAAGGACTAGTGAGGAGGCGATGAGCTAGTGCTCGTGTAATACCGTTTTTGGTAGATAGTGTAATTGCCTCTGTTCGGTGTATGGTTTTTTTAAGGTAATCGTAGTGGGTGTGCATGTAAAATTTATGGACTCAAAAACATCGGGAATGTGTAAGTATGTTCATATATGGCAGGTGTAAATATGTGTGGAAATGAAATGTTTTAAGTAATGTGGCGGTTGGGCGTGCTTAGTTATTCTGGTGTTCTCCAACTTTTTTGTCCGGGTTTAATTAATTGTTTCCGCTATGATTGACTTTGATGCGAGACCGTTGAGTCGGCGACGTATTCCTGGGATGTCGCACTGTTCGACTCATGAAAGTGAGGTGTGGAAAGCATTAGACTTGAGTCGGGGCGTGACAATTCTTTCGTCATTTCTTTCCAAATTTTCTCCACAAATTTCAGCTTCTCCTTCAACACTTCATCATCATTCGTCAATTGGAGGTCAACCCAAGTAAAGAGGCCCCAACCATCAAATTGCAGAATGAGCATGAACTTAGCATATCCAAATCGATAGCGAACATCGATCATTCCAAATCGATACTCTCAGTGCAGCTATTGGACATTGATCTTTCCACCTAAAAAACTGAAATCAAATCGTAGCCAATCAGCTCATTTGCTTTCAACAAATCGATAGAGCATTACCCTCCACTTAGAATTACAGAAGTAGCTATACTGAGAAAAAGATAAATTATTTGTTTTTGAGACCTTGTTACCGTATGCAGATCCTCATATTCTGATTTCTTTCGGCTAAGATACTAATTTGTTTCTCGAAGGTTCACTACTAGCTAGGTTCTGACATCTTACCGGTTTAGCATAGTTTGATACGATTCGCATTTTACTTTTCTTATGCATTTCCTTATGAAGGTTGATGTTCCCTTCATAGAAATACTGGATTCCTTTGATTTGCTAAACTAAACTAAACTAAACTAGTTTATATCACTTTTCTTATGCATTTCCTCATGAAGGTTGATGTTCCCTGCATAGCAATCAAAGACTCAATTGTGGAATCATTTAAAAGGGGCGAATTTTTTTTTATTTTACTCGAATTTGCACGATGCGCCAATTGTCTCATAATTAGGTCGTGTTTTTGTGGTTTGACATGAATCTCTATATGGTTAGACTCATAGATTTTTTATTTGATAGTATTAGTTTCTCTATTTCAAATAGGATAAGTATTAAGGGTACACCAGCGGTAACATAAATGTTTAAAACCGGCCTCATTCACCATTGATAAAGTTAGCACATTTGAGAGTATTTTGTATTTCGATCTGAAAATATTCTTGGAAACGCTAAAATTTGAAATGTTTTTTTTTTCAGAATACTAGAATTAAGTTATTATGGAATAGAAAATGAGGGGGATGATTGTGACCCTGAGGACTTCGATGATCTTTTATTTGATTTCCCTTTGCAAGCAATATTCAATTGATTATATTAATATATATTATCTAGTAGATAAATGATCTATGAAGTATAAAAGTTAAATAACACATGCTAGATGTATTAACGGATTCGAACGTTTTTGAAAATCTTTCCGATCAATACTTATTGCTACTCTTGATACATAATAAGAAAAACATTCAAGTCTGACATTACGATTTATAAGTTTTGGCTGTACTCCTTAACTTTTTGTGCTTTGAGTATTTATCGGATACACCTAAGAAGCACATTTGATATTGTATTGTCAAATTCTCGTTGTTATCCCCCGGATAGAAATTATCAACAATCTAACAGCTGGATTTTAATCCTCTTATTTAGTTAATTAATCATCTAGGATGTGCATTGCCATGTTTGCGGAGTAAACAAAGCCTACCAATTATAGTATTTCCGGTTTTGATATATACAAAATAGGCAAGTGTATCCACATTTAAAATGAGAAGATGTTCTTGAGGTATGCACCCAAATGAATTTGAATTATCGAGTCTAGTATGGTCTATCATATTTATATACGGAGACTATTGGATTCGACGGTTCAGCCAGGGATGGATACATCAAGGCCATAAACCATTCCGCGGTTGGTGACAAGGACGGGTTTTGCGTACTTCCGTGGACAGAACTCCATCATATTAAGCAAACTCTTCCTAGACATGGAAGAAACTTAGTTGGATATGAGAGCAAGATGCATTTTTTTTTGGCAAGTAATTTATTCTTAATGTTCTTATTCTTGATTGAAAGATATTAATGTTATCTGGTTTCTCCTTCAATAATTTGCTGATATGGAGAGTTGGTTAGACTAATTGGTCAAGGGATGCTGCAAATTCATCATTGGATGACAATCAATTTGCTCATGTCAGGCATAGTTAAGCAGTTTAAATACGTAATACACGGTCGTATCTACAATCATCTTCCAATAGATCTCTTCACTGATCATTGACCACACATTCAAGAAGCTCAACCATTCATCAATGTGTGAATAGTTGACCCCGACAATTTTTTTTTCAGGTTCATTCGCATCAAGACAATGGTTTTCTTTAAGGTGAGATGATCTCGTGCTTTGGAGATAAGAGGATGGAGGGGTTGGCCATTGTAAATCCAGACGGAGAAACTTAGCTTTCCTTCCAAACTTAGATGGCGTTAAAGACAAGAACAAGAGAACTAAATGGGCGATGCTTATAAAGGCAATTATGCCAATAAGTTATCAACCCTTTAGACTTCCATCGTTGCACATAATTAAAACGTTCCTATATAGATATGTGCACTCGCCAGTAAACCCAGTGAACGGTTCAAATCCACAATTTCCCAATGGAAGCCTATCTCAAATTTCATTCTCTTCTTTCCTTCACTCTGATTCTTGCATGCTCAATGCCATGTGAATCTGCTTCGGGTCATGGCTTCACTATGGAGCTAATCCACCGTGACTCGCCCAGATCCCCATACTACAAACCAACCGACACCCCGCATCAACGTATGGCCAATGCTATTCGCCGATCCATTTCCCACGCAAACCATCTTAACCCGAAATCTGTTGGCACGCCGAACACGCCCTCTGCGGTGATTGTCGCAGACGACGGGGATTACCTTATGAACATCTCGCTCGGGAACCCACCCGTGACTATTGTGGGGATCGCCGACACGGGGAGTGACCTCATATGGACGCAGTGTGAGCCATGCACGGATTGCTTCGAGCAAGCAACCCCGCTTTTCGACCCTCGTGAGTCCTCGACGTACAAGGACATCTCGTGCAGCACGTCGCTGTGCGAAGTGCTCGACCAAACCTCATGCGGCGGACAGGGGCTTTGCGAGTATTCTTACTCTTATGGTGATGGGTCATACACTATCGGAAACCTAGCCACAGAGACCTTCTCCATAGGGTCCACCTCGGGCCAGCCCTTGAGCTTCCCCAATGTGCTCTTCGGGTGTGGACGCAACAACGGTGGGACCTTCACTGATGACACGAACGGAATCATCGGGCTCGGGGGTGGCAGCGCCTCGCTCATAACCCAATTGGGGAAAGCCACCGGTGGGAAATTCTCCTATTGCTTGGTGCCCTATTCCTTGAATAGTAAAATCTCTAGCAAATTGAACTTCGGGGCCAGCGCCGTGGTCGCTGGCAGCGGCGTCGTCTCCACTCCTCTGATCCAAAAGGACCCAAAGACTTTCTACTACTTAACCTTAGAAGCGGTAAGCGTTGGCAAGACGAGGATAGAATTCCCATCCGATGACTCTTTCGCTTCCGTGGACGAAGGAAACATCATCATTGACTCGGGCACAACCTTGACGCTGCTGCCTCAAGGTTTCTACACTGAAATTGAAGCCGCCATGGTTAAGTATGTGAAACTGCCCCGCGTGAGCGACCCGTCTCAGTTCCTTAGCCTTTGTTACAAGGCTGTGACAGATGTTGGGCTCGACATTCCTCCTGTGACCTTCCATTTCAAGGGCGCGGACGTGGTACTGAATCCAGGGAGCTCCTTTGTCCAAATCACCGACAAAATCATATGCTTCACATTGATCCCAGGCGAATTGTCGATCTACGGCAACTTGGCGCAGATGAACTACTTGATCGGATACGACACTCAGAATATGAAGTTGTCCTTCAAGCCCGTTGATTGCACCTTGCACTGATTTCTTTCATATGGTTCGTCTTTCTAATTCTTATGGTTTAGGATTGAGTGGTGTGTTTTCTTTGAGAAGAATATATACGTATTAAGCCTTTGGTTGAACATATTAAAGATCAATCCTGATGTGGTTTATATGGGATTGATCCTAGGTACTCTAGCTTTTTGCTGAATAATATTCTCGTGTTCTTGTAACTCCTTATTTTCTCTATACTATGAGAATTATTATTTGCGAGATGCAATAATTCACTGTTCAGAGTTGCAATGGTTAATGAACAAACGTTTTGGGAAGTTAACTGGTCTGGTCTTGGACCTCTTAGAAGCTGCAATTCATGCCCTTGTTAACAGAGAAGAAGATCAAGTATTGATGATCTGTCCTTGGAGATTCCTGAAGATTTGTTTGGAAGGATCGCCGCCGCCCCTATTCCTAGGTTCATGGGTAAGACCAACAAACTGTTGGAATTTCTCTGCTAATTGCCAATTGAAGCAAATATACCACATGGGTAGAGATAAGATGAAACTATCGTTCTTATGAGAAGCCCGTATAATTTCACAATTAGTTCCTTGACTTTGGACGGCGTAAGTTATGTTAATCCTTGAGGTGTTTAGCGGATTACCATATGAGCACGTACGATTCCTCTCACAAGGAAGGGCTAATACTGGGTCCGGATTCTCCCAAACCCTACCTATCACAATTTGATTTCTCGATTAAATTTGTTTTTATTTATGAGCCACCACTAATCTATTGAAAGCCGGTTAGAGGCAAAGTAAAATGGGGGAGATTGTTTTACTTGGCTACGGTAAAGTCTATTTAATGCTTAATTTGGCACCTTTTCTCTTTGTTTTGAAAACATTTATTCATGCAATTTTGCCTTTTTTAAAAGTGCCAGGCACGTCCATCTATGTGACCATGCATTGTCGATTTGCGCAATTATATCTATCATTCACATAACAACACAATATCACAATTAATAAAACCCGATAATGAGGACGCAATGTAAAATGTAGAAAGTAAAGCCATACAACGTGAGGCAAGAATATTGCATTGTCATATTATTAAGCCCGGAGACAAGGCTCCCTATCATTTACCCAAGAACATCACAGAAAAGGGATGCTCAATCTTCTTCTTCTTTTTTATAGACA